TCAAAAAGCACAACCGCCGCTGGTTCTCGACCGATGGGAACCACTAAACGTCGGCGTTCCGCAACGCAGAGCAGGAGGAAGCGAGCTGCGACGCCGCCACTGCTCAGTATCTTGGATGTCATGGAAGATGATGCGCCCAAGTTTATCAAGATCGCTGCTCGAACTGCCAGGAAAACAAAGACCATGGGAAAGACGAGTCCTTCTAGAAAGGCCATCAGATTAGCCAATCGAACTGACAATGTGGATGTCTTGTCAACCCTTCGAGATTGGAAGTCTGGCAAAACAAAGCCAAAGGTCGCGTTGGAACTGTCGAAACGGTCGACACAGCCCAAGAAGAGGCCTGTGTTGCGGGAGGTTTCCACAAATGTGTCGTCGAGGTCCCATCTGGCAGCTCCGAGGCGTACATCTGGTATTTCCGGTGATCCCCAGCAGAGCAATCTCGATGGGTTTGTAGAAGTTCTCGAAGATGAAAACAGCGAACCACCGCAGCTGCCTCAGCTGCCTCAGCTGCCTCAGCCTCGAAAGCTTTCAGTGCGGAAGCCCGGTGTGCAGGGTCGCGGCCCGGTGATGCGGCCAGCCCAACTAGAAGAAGACGAGGGTGAAGATAAGAGACGGCAATTAAACGCCAGAAAGCGAAGACTGGATGCTTTTTACAGACGAGCTCAACAGCTTTTGGATTTGCCGGCAATCGATGAACCAAGAAACCGGGTCGATATAGATTTTAACCGACAAAAGGGACCTGCACAGCAAATTCATGATCAGCAATCCAAGTTCCCGGAAGACTCATCAGCGCAGGCGACGCAGGGTCCTAAAGCTGTCAGACCCAGATATAAGAAAACTCGTCGCCCGCAGCATGTCAACCTCGAAGCTCCGCAATACGCTCGAGCAAACGATCCCTTGCCAGCCGACATTTTCCTTGTCAACGTCGAGGATCATAATCCTGACCAGCCTCAAGACAAACTCCAGGGGCTTGGACCGTACGGCACCATCTACACCCAACACTTTGATATCTTCCCTCTAGACGTCGGCGTCTTCTTCCACGAATCCACAGTCATCGGTCGGGGGTTTATCCAAAAAGCTATGGAAACTAGCTTCGCTGAGCGCATACGCCATCAGAAAGCCTCGGTCTCCTGGACTCTGGATCAAGGGGCAGTGTTCAGGTGGAGCGTCTGGGATGACAAAACATCTTCAGAGCTCGGCATACTAGTTGATTGGGTTTCTGATCAGCTCAGCGCCGAGGCGGAAAATCCCATTGATGCCCGAAAACCAATCGAGGCGGCCGATTTCATCCTACGGTACATCTTGAACTCTCTCAGCATCCCGGATGACCTTGGGGAGAAGGCGTTCGTCGCAAGATGTCTTGAAGTTTTCTCTAGTTTCATAGCAAGGTTCGACTCGCTTGAGTGGAAAGACATGTCGGCAGAAACCAACATGAAGCGGCTCGAGGTGATTTCAAGGTTCAATATCGTCATGCTTGCTGTCAGATCGGTGAGTCAAGCGGGGAGCAACCCGATCGAGACGATGACGGTCGAGGATACGGTTACGAAATTGGGAAGGGCCACTATCAAGCGCTTGCTCGGTTCTGGCTTGGATGAGCTAAGAGAGCTTTATGGTGATTTACAGCAGGCTTCGTTCAGAGAACGCGGAATACGTCCCGACCGCGTTCTCGTAAATTGTTGGGCTGTAGTCGTGAGGGTGCTGCAGAGCACCAATATTCCTAGGAGTTCATTCTGGGACGTTGCTCAGTCCGTAATGTTGAGTGACGGAATCGCAGCTGGCTTGGATGCCCAGGCTTTTGAACGGCTCTGGCGGGATATGTTCACCCTGCTACCGCTTGGCGAGCTTGATAATTCGGGGATTCTCATTGCTGGGTTGAGAAAGACTGCGCCTATGGAAGGGTGGACATTGCCGCAGAAGTTGTTGAAGAGGGTCTTTGAGCTGTACCGAGGGCACTCGAGACAGCCGGCGAGTTTCAATGAGTATTGTCGAGCTCTGGTCGCTCGGTGTCATTTTCTGGTTCAGCAATGGGGTTGGAGGAAATATACGGGGATCATTGGAACCATCTTTGATTTCTTTGGTTCTCAGAATCTTGCGAACTTGAGGAACGAGGAGGTGTACAAGTCCCCCAAGTTTCTTGAAGAGCTTGGTGGCAAGCCTTCGCTGTTTATTGAGCCGGAAGATCGATGCTTCCATATCTTCCTCAAGATGTTGGCTCTGGCTATCCAACGGTTGAGGGAACTCGGAAGGATGAACGATATCAAAAATCTCGTGGCGAGGACCCTTCCGAACCATAACCGACAGTATCACAAGGAGGACACGATTCATCAACACGATCTTGCGGCCCTGAGGAACCATCATGATCTGCTCTGTACCCTTTTCTGGGTGGCGCCGCCTGATTTGCGGCCGGCGGTTCACCTTATCGAGAAACTGGTAGTTCCTGCTAGTGCCCATAAGGAAGCGTGCCTGATCAGCATCAGGGCGTGGAGTCAGCTGGCACGATTTGTGATCTCGAATGGAGAGGGGGTTGATGTGTTCAGACCGTTTGCTGTGTGGAGGAACAATATCTTCAACCAGGTGTTGGATCAGTACCTCTCAGCAGCATCAGATATCGAGCAGCAGTTCAGGGCTCTCCCTAACCAAGGGCACGGAATCAGCAAAGAGATGAGGGATGACATGATAGCCAAGAACAAGGCTTCGGCTTTGGATGTGTTGGCCTTATCCATCAAGACATCATTGGCTGTTCTCCAGCGGGCACCGACGTTAGAGGCTGCCATGTACGGGCTGAACACCACCCAGCTCCAAAAAGTCTTTACCAGTCTCGACTTTCACTCACACAAATTTGACTGGAGCATCCTGAACGTAGCTCTCGACTCTCTCGACAATTTCATAGCGCGCATCGACCAAGCATCAGAAGAGCAGTACTCAAGCGACTTCCTCAACACGCAGGCATTCGATTCCCGTGCACTGGAAGAAGCAATCCTCCTGGTCAACGAGCAGCTTGCTCGAGATTTTTTCTGGATGGCTCGCACGGTCATATCATTAGCCATTCCAAATTCCTTACTCCGTCAAAACCCTCAAACCCTCTGCGTCGAAAAGACTGTCGCGCTGGCAGCCCGCCTGGCAGCGAGATTCATCAAAGATCGCTTGACAAAACTCTCGTCATATTTCACTCCAGGGAAATACTTTTTATTTTCCGCCCTCCCCAAGGACCTTGTTACGTCAGAACGGACCTACTTACCACTATTCCTCGCCATCCTGCTCAAAAACCAAATCTTTGATTTCAAGGATATTGGGACAACACTTCTTGGGCTATGGACCTTGGCCATAACTAAACCGTTCGCTTTACTCCGTTACGAGAACTACCTCGCCGATGTGCTGAAATCCCAGAACTTGCCGTTCATGCAGGACGCAACGGCGGTTTGCTCGGGGATAGAGCCGGACTACAACTCCAACCACGATTTTTTCCTTTCGTGTCTTCTTTACATGCGCAAAGCCCTTCGGCCATCGAATTCATCAGGTTCATCAACGTCTAAGAAGCTGTTAAGGGAAGAATTCTCCTCCACCTTGTGCCTCGTCATGACCAGACTCAAAAGCGACCTCTCCCTCCACCCATCCCCCAACTTTCTACAGTTCGTCAGGTCCGTAGTGCTGTGTATAAAATCCCACGGTACGGGTATATGTACTGTAGACCCATTTTTCCTGCAACCGTCGGCTACTTACTCCCCTCCGATGCACGATATCAAGCTCCACGAGGCGGGGATTTTGGCTTACGGGGTGAGGCTTGGAGAAAAAGACGGGAGTGCGGGACCGCAGTTGTGGTGGTATTTATGGAACTCGTGGAGACTGAGTTTTGGAAACGGGAAACTCGGCGACGAGAAAAAAGTGGTGAGAGGGGTGATGATGAAAGATAAAGAGGTTAGGGAGTTTGTGATTGGCAGGTTGGTGGCGGGGGTTGTTTTGGCTGTCACCAAGGAGAGGAAGGGGTGGGTGCTCTTGGAGTGGTGGGTTAGTGTGCTCAGGGGGGTGTTTGGAGGGGGGTGCATGGGGATTGAGTTGGGCAGAAACGAGGAGGAAATTGAGGGGTTAGGAAGGATACTAAAAGGGGTAGGGGAATTCATTGAAGGGATCGAGGGTGGGGAGCTAGGAGTCGAAGAGTGCTATTTGTTGGCATTGATGATGGACTTGGTTGGGCTGGTATGGGGTGGGTTGGTTGTTTGGGTGGGGAATAATGAGGATAATGTCGTTGAGGGGTTGGAAGGCACGGTGAGGAGGTTGCAGGAAGCTGTGAAGAATGTGCGGAGGTTTGTTGAGGGTTGTGATGGAGTTGTATCGGGGGAAAATGAGGGGGACGAAATGGCTGCCGGCCCAGGAATCACTATCCCGCCTGAGATTCAAGGGTACGCGAGGACGATAGCTACTGATGTTGAGAAGAACTGGAGAGTGGATGACCAGGGGGGGAGTGTTTATATCAGGATGGCGAGGGTGACGCCTGCTGGGACTCAGAGCGGGAACGGGAATGGGGAGTCTAGGATGGAAGCATCGGTCAACTTTACGCCCTGGAATAGGGAGGAGTTGATGGAAAGGTTGAAGGCGCTGTTTGGACGGTGGGACAGGAGAATTTTACTATTTAGCGAGCAAGAACAGGGGTTTAGGAGTAAGAGCAGCAGAAGCGGGAAGAGAATCTGGCAGGCTGGTGGCAGCGGTGACGGCGAAAAGGATATGGAACTAATATTCTAGATGGTTTGGGATAAGGAACAGGGAAAGGCACAGAAGGAGCGCAAATACCTGGATAGGTATCAGGTCAGCATATAATTATTATATGGTGCCTGTCCCAAGTTCACTCATCTTCTTTTTGCTCTTCACCAACTTGCCCATTTCAACGGCTATTGGTAATGATTCACAAGCCATCTACAAAGATTAAACATAAAAACATAAGGGAGGAGGGAGATATTTAAAAATACCTACTGCCGCAACCGGGAAAAAATCAAAAAACATATCCATGACCCCGACCCGATTTGAACGGATAACCTTTCGATCTGGAGTCGAACGCGCTACCGTTGCGCCACGAGGCCAATTCATGGATGTCAAGGTGGAAATCGCCACTCATGTGCATGCCGGGAAACCTTGTCTGCCCCACCATAGCCAAGAGAACGAGCCAGAGGATTGACGTCGACTCGGTTCGCACCGGCCAAATTTGACAGCTGGGACCAAAGCAGCTGCGCAACGGCTGCATCCGCTGATGAAGTTTCTAGGCTGCACAGAGGAGGTGCAACTCTGACGACGAATTCCGCAAACTTTTTGCCCTCCCAAATCCTGGAAACCCGCTCAGGCGATTTCGACAACGGGATCGAATCGCATGACCACTCCGAGATCGAATTGATAGCATTTCCCGATGCCTGTCGCCGGGGCCAGGGCCCTCCTGTCGTCAGCAGCAGCAGTGAAGCCGCCGCGTTGTCGACCGCAGCTGCCCCGCGTCGGCCGCCGCGCAGTGGTATCGGCAGCAGTAGCTTCGAATGCCGTTGCTGCAGCAAGTTGCAGCGGCCGTGGCTTTCACACCTCGTCGCCTGCCAGAGGACGGACCGACGATTCGAACCCCGCCCCCGCCCCCGCCGCCGAAGAGAAAGACAAGGCCGACAAGAAAAATCACGATGAAGAACAGCAGCTATCCGCTCCTCCCGCTCCTCCCGCAGCAGAACAAAACGACAATGGCTCTTCTCAATCCTCCACCCCGGATAACGATGCACTCCCACCATCATCATCATCAACACCACCACCGCCCCCGCCCCTGACCCCCCAAGAACAAATCACAGACGCCGCGGCGAAAAAAGACAAGCTCCGAACAAACACGATCTTCTCCGCGTCCTCCAACGGCACCGGAACCGCCCCGGAAAGAACAGGAGCCGGCCGCGTCCGAGTAAGCGCAAACAGCTCGGCCTCGCGCGCCCGAACCGAAGAGGTCCCTTCGCTCCCTCTGCCCGCCTGGTTCGTGAACGGGAACGTGTCGCTCTACGAATCCCGCCCGATTGGGACCCTCGAAACCCGTCTGTTCCCCCTGAAGGACCAAGATCGCGACAAGGTGCTCGACCTGCTCGAGTCCCAGCTCGACAGGGCATCGATAACCCCGGCCGACGTGGAAGCGTGGATCGGCCGGTTCGAGTCGGCCGGCGGCGTGCAGCCTCAGGTGCTGGAGAAGCTCATCAGGCGGTTCCGCGCCGTCCACAACGCGGCCTTTTTGCAGGCGCTGGCGGTGGTGCACAGACCTGACGCCGACCCCAAGCACCTCGAGGTGTTGAGGGGCCACCATGCCCGGCTGGAGGAGCACATCATGCGGCTTTCGTGGTGGGCGGACGAGGGGCTGTCCGGCGATGCGCAGAGGTGGCTGTCCAACGTGAGGGCGGACGAAGGGTTCGGGCTGGGCGGAGCCGTGCACGCCAGTCCGCTGGCTAACAGAGCCGACCCGGAGTATCCGGTCTGCGTTGAGCTGCTGGCGGCGTTGCGGACGCAGCTGCTGGCCACGCCGCCGCCGGCTACGGGAATAGGAGGGAGACCGGATTCAAGGAGGCCCGTCACCGTGCTGTCGGTGCTGAACAGGAAGGGTCCCAGCGTGGCCAACTCGGTCATTGACGACGTGGCGACGGATATGAAGGCTGACGTGGTCCATCTAGACTCTCAGACGCTGGCGAGGTTGCTGGGGACGTACTTTGGGCAGAATATGTACTGGGGGAGGGGTTCGTTGGCGACGCTGGGTTATGCGGCCGCCGAGATGAATGGGAGGTTGGCTCCGAGGGTGAGCGGGGATGATGGAGAACACGAGATAGGTATGGTCGCCGTCTTGCCGTCGAGACTTCGCTCATTTTTGTCTCCAAAAGAAACCTTGACTGGCGGTCCTTCCGAGGGCCGGTGGGAGGAACTCAAGATTACGAATGCGCTGAGCGCGCTGATCTCGAGCGCGGATGCGAAACGAAACGTCAACAACGTCGGACCGCCACGCGATTTGATCATCCACATTCACGACTATGTCGAGATTAGCTCACTGAAGCCGGTAATCATTAGCAAGTTTAGAATGATTGTCGACCGGATGTGGCAGGCGGGGAGGAAGGTCGTTCTTGTTGGATCTTCATCGGGAGATATACAAAAGTCGGTACAGTGGCGGGAGCAGCTGATCGAGATGGGCCGCGAGGGTAGCCACATCATCCCGTTTCACTCGTCCGAGCCTGAGGGTAGGGATTGGATGGAGAAAACAGACAACCTGTACCAGAACATCGACAACATCAAGGATATGCTTCAGGCAATGCTCGGAGCTGATATCGAGATTACGTTCCATGAGCAGATACGAGCCGAGCACGCAGCTAATCCGCTATCGAGAGGCAAGTATGATTCGCTCATTGAGACGCTCTCGAGCACTCTTTATGATGTTCAGTGGGTGTATCGGCTTGCTTCCCTGATTGTTGGCGGCCGGACGCCGCGGTTCCAGAAGTTCACCCTCGGCCACCTTCGATACGCTCTGGATTTCATGACCGACAGGAACAAGCACCTGTCACGTGTATATCCAAGCGTCAGGCCTCCTTACTTCTCTCCTCTGTTTACCGCCCGGGCTCCTTCTGTCTCTTCTTTCTTCCCTAGCTCGCAGGAAGACTGGTCGTCAGGTTCTTCACCGTCGGCCAACCTCCCCGGCGGGGCAGCATCGAAAGAGTACGACCAACACGAAACGAAGCTTCTGTCAGGGCTCATCAACGCTGAAGATATTCACACAACGTTCAACGACATTATCGTGCCGACGGAAACGAAGGAATCATTGATCGGACTTACCTCGTTATCCTTGATTCGACCGGACGCGTTCTCGTACGGTGTCCTAAAGACCGAACGCATCCCTGGATGTCTGCTTTACGGTCCTCCAGGGACCGGTAAAACCCTCTTGGCCAAAGCCGTCGCTAAAGAGTCTGGAGCAAGCATGCTTGAGGTCTCGGCTGCGTCAATAAACGACATGTGGCTCGGCCAATCAGAAAAGAATGTCCGGGCCCTCTTTTCTCTGGCAAGAAAGCTCGCTCCCTGCGTCATTTTCCTTGACGAGGCGGACGCCTTGTTAGGTGCGAGACAGCAGTCGCCCGGCCGAACGGGACACAGGGAAACCATCACGCAGTTCTTGAGAGAGTGGGACGGCTTGAGCGAGATGAGGGCGTTCATCATGGTCGCTACAAATCGGCCGTTCGACCTGGACGAAGCCGTCCTCCGTCGGTTGCCAAGGAAAATACTGGTGGACCTCCCGCTCAAACCCGAGCGCGAAAAGATTCTGGGCGTGATGTTGAGGGACGAATCTCTTGCAGGGGACGTCTCCTTGGCTCAGCTGGCAGCCGAAACGGAGCTGTACTCGGGTTCCGACCTGAAAAACCTCTGCGTGTCTGCGGCGATGGCGGCCGTCAGGGAGGAAGTGAGGGCGAAAAACAAGTTTGAGGCCGATCCGGAGAACGACGGCGTCGCTTACGTTTTCCCGGACAAGAGAGTGCTGACCAGGGAGCACTTCGAAAAAGGTCTAAAGGAGATTAGCTCGAGCATCAGCGAGGACATGGAGTCCCTGAAAGCCATCAGGAAGTTTGACGAGCAGTACGGCGACAGCGGACGCAAGAGGAAAGGCAGCAGGAAAGGCATGGGCTTCGAGGTTGTCGTCACCAAGGGCGGGACTGAGGAAGCTAGAGTTAGACAGGTTTCACCTTGAGGGGAAGAATAAAGAAATGAGCTTATTATCTAAAGGGGTTATAATATAAAGGGACGGGGGTTAAAAAAATCAAAGAAAATAGGATTGGGCGGGGCGGGGGGCGGAGGATGCTGTATTATATAGCATTTATCAGAATGGAGTTTGAAAGTATTTTTTTATACATAACATATACATGGATGGAATGTGGGATTGTGTGTTGGGCCTTGGGACGGTGGAGGGGGGGAGGGATATGCATATATATAAAAATTGTTGTAATGTTGTAATCTGTTTTCAGATGTGTTGGGGAGTTAGATTGATGAAATCAATGTATTTGTAGAAAGATGAAATGGTGGGAAAGCATATAAAAACACATTTGTTTTTGATATTTCTATTATTTTTCCGTCCAAGAGGAAGAAGAAATGGTAAAAAATCAAAATGTCATTTACACACACACACAACACATAACTATCAAGTTCAACAGGAGCCACTCGTCCTGCCTGTCTGACTTTCAAGTCAATGTCCCTCCTGTAAATTTACAAAAAAAATAAAAAAAAATTTAAAAAAAAATTGTCTAGATTAGAGGTAACTTGTATGTTGACACACATTTACTCTTTTAGTTTTACTTTGAACAAGTTTTTACTTTCTCTCCCCATGAGGGAGGGAAAAGAAAAATAAAAAAAAAAAAAAAAAAATCTATTTCTTATTCATCTAAAATTCAATGACTAGAGTAAAATTTTTTTTTTTTAAAAAAAAAAACTCGTTATTTTATTTCCCCATCCTTCCTTTGGGTATTAAACCATTTTGACCCACCCGCTGCCTTCTTCCCCTTCTTTTACAAATTATTATGGCATTCAACCCCTGGAACCCCTGTACAGCGCCACGGCCTTCTCGATCGCCGCCGTGGTGTGCTCAAACAGCGCCATGACCGAGTCCCTCCCGCCTTTGGGCGGCACCCACTTGAGCTTCTTGCCCGTCTTTTGGTAGTGCTCCTGTATCTGCTTCTTCCTGGCCTCGGCGGCCCTCAGCCTGTCCCTCTCGGCCTCGGCGGCGATGGCCTCGATGCGCTCGACGCACCTCTTGAGCGACTCGACGTGGTAAGCCAGCTCCCCCGCCGCCGCCGCCGCCGCCGCCGCTGCGCTCCCTCCTTCTGAACTGTCGCCGGAGGATGACGACGACAGGAAAGCGGACCAAAACTGCTTGAGAAACTCGGTCGTGGTCATCTGCGTCAGGTAGCAGCGCTCCGTGAGGTCCGGGGGTATGCCCATGGGCGATGCCTCGACGGCGTTTGCGCCGGTCGGGCCGCCGGCGTGCTCGGCGCGAGCCTTGCGGAGGCCCTCGAGGATCTGCTGCTCTGCCGCCCTGCGGGCCGCGCGGGAACCC